TTATAATTGAAAGATGCGCGAGGGCTTCTTACAAACAGGAAGGGTGTGTGAGAGAACTGGCTTGTCGTCCAGATGTGTTTGAAACGAAAATAAATCCGTAGATCAGTTTTACGGTTCGCTTTATCTCATTCAGGCTCAAAGGTGACGCGAGGTAAAAGAGATAACGCGTTTTGAAAATTTGTAAATTGAAATGCGAAAGTGTTGCTATCGATTTGATATGATACAATGTCAATATTCGGGAAAACCCAACGATCATTAGTGGTAGGTACCTACCTACGGTCAAAGAAAGGACGGAAAAGGTCTCAAGCCGTGGGAATCTTCATTTTTCAGTAAAATAGATCATTATTAACCTCATCATTTTGCGGCTAACAGGCGAAAAAGAGCACCTGCTCGACTGGTGCAATAAACAACCCCTACCATATGGATGCGGCTTAAAGGCGACACCTTTAATTGAAACCCTTACGAGCGATTATTGCACAATACTAATGATAATTGAATTCGATTAGTGAGTATTATAAACCACTTACCAAGCTTTGACACGAATTAAAACTTCTCCCTCGGCGAGGGTTGGTTCGGGTTTCTTTAAGATTTTTACGGATTTCAAACCACCAAAGCCGGTGAGGACGACCGCCCTCATTTCTTTCGGCGGTTCGGGATCCGCAACAGGTTCGGATTCGCCGGTACCATTTTCTTGAATTTCCTTCTTTTCGGGGGTGGAATTCTCCTTTGGCTGCTGTTCGTCTTGAGTTGGTGCGTTATCTCCTTGTTCGGACATTTTTTTAATTGATTGATTAGGGCGAGACAAAGAATACGAGATTTAACACTAAACGAAAAGACGCTTCCACACACTAAGACACGAATGCAACGAATAACGAGTGGCGAGTGTTGGTTAGGGAGAAGAAGACGTGCGCGAGTAACAGGTGCCGGGGAGCGTCGGGACTTGCGCACGAATTTCAAATATCAGAGCCACCCCTATTTGATGAAAAGCTTAGTAATTTTAATTTCGTATGAAAAAGCACAATATCCCCCCAAGCATTCTTATTTATAACGTTCAAGTTCGATTTAAATTTAATGAAAATTTAATAGCAGCTGCGAAAATTACAGCTACAAAGGCAAAACGAGTCCGTACTCCCAACCTCCTAAAATCGACATTATCAATATTTAAAATTTAAACAAGCACATGATACATATGATGAATTAACATATGATTAATTATTGAAACGAAATTTGCCAATAGTCATTGAATAATTAATTTTTTATTCAATGCAATAGTGTACAAACGTGTGATTAATTCATTGGGTCCATGTTGACCTCTTCACACGCAAGTTTAATGCTTTGCCTAACTGTCCAGGTCTCTTATATCCCAAAGAAACAGTCCTGTAGGACTTGTGTACATATGGTAGGCAACACACAGTGCTCCGATAAAATTGATGACACTACCGACCAATGATTAATGAATAAAGAATACCTACCGACACAGATTTGTAGTCATGTGCAATGATGTGCTACCGGTCACGTACCCAAGGGAGGGCCTTGTTTAAATACTTAAACAATGGTGCGGGGGATGAAAATTACACATTAATAGAAAAAGCAAAAATTTTTTGTATACAGGCTGTTTCACGCAAACCGTTACCTAAAAGTATTCAAACTCCCATTAATTAATTAAATCTGAAAATTTGCATACCGGACAATATTATCATGATCATTTCACTTCCGGTTTTCCCGGCTGTAGTTCATCCGCCATGTCAAAAAACAGCCAAACGTTCTTACGAAATACTGCTTTTGTAGTTGAATTATCGGTTATAGTTTTTTAATTAGACATAATTAATCAAAAAATCGTTTTTCATAAATCATGAATATAGGCAAAGAGTACCCACTCTTTGATATAGGTAAACAGCCGTTGTAATCTGTTCAAAAACGATCAGCTCCAATATGAAAATGCGACAGTATATTGTACATTGGCACTTTTTATTTCCATTCTACATACTATCATAACACAAATATTTAAAAAACGTAAGGATAGGCAGCTAACACTCCTTCAGTGGTCAACGTGTTTCGTTCCTCCAACACCCCGAGGGATACTGGAGGCGGGCTGCTACTCAAAATTTCCTGACCCTCTTCAGCCAGAGGATGGGTAAAGTTAAGGTTGGGTACGGAAGCAAGGAACGAAGTTAGGGTGATGAAAGGGAAGGGTACTGCTCCGCCACTCGCTAGCATTATGCGAAGCGACGTACGTCAGAGGAAAGCCCTCTGAGAAAACCCTGGACAGAGCACAACCACTGCACCATCACCGGCTTCAGAACACAAAACAAACTCCCCTACACATTCTTACTCCCTTTCAGAATAAGCTTTTACTTAATAAACTCCCATCATTGGGTGCCCTTAGGTACTATTAAATTGTTTTTGTTTCCTTTAAAAAGCATAAGCATGTATTTTTACTATCTATTCTTACTGTCATTGTCATAATGTGTTTAAGGCTACTTAATCTAAAATCACCACTGTAACTTTGGGGCACTTGGCGATCTAAATATAGTGTAGCGAATATTCTATAAATCCCGATAGATAACGAGGCGTCATGAGAGAGAGTAGTCTCGGCGCTAAGCGGATTCTTTTAGGGAATAGGAATAGGACATGTTTGATCTAGAACATTTGGAAGCGTTCGAGAGAACTCGGATAACATTCTAGAAAGATTGTTGTTTGCTATATAAGCAAATCGAATTGTTTCGAATTAGTTATAACATTGATGCGCTCGTGTGAGTGATAAATAATAATCACTGTTATAAAATAATCCATTTTAAGACTGTTGTACATTTAAAGTTAGTTAATTGTAAATATATAAATCACATAGGTAATTAAATTTACGTTACAAATATAGGTATTATTTTTATAGATGATTTTCATTATCTATCAGTATTCAATTCGTTTTTGTTAATCATATGACCCACTAAAACTGTACATATTCGTAGCTATCGCCAATTTTCCCACAGTTCCAGGAATGAGTCTAGTTTGGTTTTAAGGAATACTAGTTGGCCTGCCAGACGATGTCCTGTCTTAACTAAGAATATTCAATTCGAACTGGAAATAATAATAAAAAAACATGGATTTTTCAGTTTCATCTCACAAACACTGCCGCTGCTCTTGCTATTTAACTATCAACATTTTCAAAACGTCTGCGCCTTTGTACTTCCGATTCGTATGTCATCAAATTCTTTGGTACGAAAACCCTACTGGAGTAGCCCACACAAATACTTAAATCAACTACGGCCACAGAATGGCAATTAAACAAAGTCATATAAAAACAAACACAAGGGATACAATATAGATGCAGTGGGAGGCACGAAAAATCAAATCAAATGCAGTTAAATCAATAACAAAACACAAAAATTGACAAACGTGATCAATGAATCGGTACAAAAACGCATTAAAAAAATCTACAATCAATTTAGGCAAAATAACTCGTAATAGTAAATTGTTGTACAAACTTCAAAAGAATGGCACTAATCTAGCATAGACTTCAATTAATTTAACACGAAAAGTAAGTATATTATCCATAATCGCCCAAACAATTATAAATAGACGAAATGTTAATGAGGGGACCTCCTTCTTGCATATTGCTAAACACAAAAGCTGCATTTCGCAAGAGATGATCAAGCAACAGATATAGCGAAGAATCGGACTCATACAGAGAAACATCAAATTAGACGAGGCCCCCCCCCCCTCGTATAGATTGCCAAGAGCTGCAGTTCACACAAGATGAAGGAGCAACATATGCCTCATTTACGACAATGTAGTTTACGAACAAGTCCATAGATACATTACACTTCAATTCAATAATTTCCGCATATTTAAAAGAATTAAAATTTATCAATTTAACTTTGGATCACGACCATGTCATTTAAAACATAACCACAAATTGAGCAAACATTTACATAAAACATGAAAGTGATTTCAAAACAATAAAAGTTAACGATATCAAACACGTAATCCTGCATTGAGGTTAAATCATGTCAATTTCAAAAACAAAGATGGAAAGTATAAAATGTTGCTTACAGAACACAAATAAAGTTATAAATAACACAAAAAAACTGGAACCTGAAAGTAGGAAATAGGCAAAGGTTAATAAATGAAACCTGTGTGGTTCTTTCCGCCCCTTCTGCGCCGGTGTATCCCACTTACAACCCCTACTTTCCGACTAGGCACCCTTCAACAGATTTAAAAAGTTGACGTTGAAATAGATTCCTTTTAAAAAGAAGAAGTGAGGTTTCAATTATTTTGTACATGTGGATATATCAAATCAATCAAATTCCTGCTTCCAGCCCATTAGACACTTGGCACTCAGAGAATGGAGAAAAAATATAAAATTCTGCTATTGTGTTCAGAATGGGATCCCTCCACTTAATGACCCTTAGTACAGTTGGCGGTTGAGAAATGAAAAGTGGGAAATTTGGATGAATAAAGTGAGAAATAAGGTCTAAACTTACCTGACAGGTTTTAAATTCGAATAAATAGTAAATCAATACTTATAGGAACTATTTCTAAGTGTATTTCTCAATAATAAAACTTTATTCTAAGAGAAACAATGACGGGTAATTACAACAAATGTAAATTGAGAGATAAATTTCTGAAAAAAATTAAATTGTCAACATAATACTAAAAATACATATAGTTCTATTTGAGACAGTTAAATAACAAATTAATCTAAATCTAAGGAATCAAAACCCTTCTGAGTCTGACACCATTACATTATTCTAAAATTTAGCTCTTTACATTAAACACATTAAAAACAAAAATAATGTGAGATCAAGACAACTAATTACTTTTATATAGTATCACTTTGGATATATGTAATTAACATTTTATCATTTCAAGTTTTGCTCACGTATGAAACTGAATCGTTCTCGGCACGATAGAAGTACAAATTAAAAAATACACAAAATACACATTAAAATTATTTCACGCGCCACCATTGGAATTTCGAAAAAGGCTCAGTCTCTTATTATCAAAAAGGCAGTTTCATAGTTAAATAAATTACAAACGTTCAACATGGAGAATTTTAGCAAAACACACATTTACTCCGTCACTTGACTTCTTCGCTGTTCCACGAGGGACTGCATTTTTCGCTGGACTTTATTATTAGGTGTGTAAGTGTCTTCGTCGTAACCTAGCAGACGTTTACCGACAATATGTTTATTAATGGCATTGTTAATTTTTTCCAAATCCTATAAAACAGTTGTAGTTTCGTTCTACATTCTACAAAAATAATACCTTTGATGGACTCCTACTGAAGTGATATTCCAAAGAGTTCGTCTTACTACCACCATTTGTTGGTGTATCATACGAAGTGATGTACAAATTATCGGTTATCTGGCACCGAGGAGATGCAAAGTTGTTGTTAATCAATGGGAGAGGACTGAGGGCGATGTTAGGATCCTAAACAGAGCTTTAGAAATAATTCTGTGTTATATTTTGATATACCTGTTCTTTAAATTGTAAAGCAAAGCTTTTTATTGCTAGAACATAAACAGTGTTATAAAATGAGATCAGATCACCCCTTTTCTCGATATCCGAGTTAATACCTACAGAACAACGAGATTATAATGAAAGCAAGTTTTAATACAACCTTCATCAGTTACTTCCTGTGTGCTACTTCGATCTATTAAAACGTTTCTGTAAATATGACTGCTAGCCTGGGGTTGCCCTCTGTAATGTTGCATGATTTCAGCAAATTTTTGCTCCCTCGTGCTTGTCACCTGCAACGCAATTCGAATACTAATCCACAAAATGAAGAACACATCACACTTACTTTACAGACAACGTATACCGCACACATTAATAATTGATCCAAGTGACGATCCTTTATTAAATGCGTATGATCTCGAATTGAATATTCGAAGACCGTCCAAATCTTTTGTGTGAATTTTAAATCGGTGATGTCTAGTTTATTGCACAGCTGCTTCATGCGCGAATATGCCAGGTTGTAGAACTTAAAATGAAATTTTTAATTGGGACTAAAAAAAGAAATGGCTTTGGCGTACTTTGCGTATGATAATCGATAGGCTTCCAGATTTTTTCGGTCTACCACTCGAAGGTGAAGATCCCTCCGCTTTGACGGGCGTTGTTGAAGTTGAATCTATCGGTTTTTCTAACACAATTAGTTGTTTGGTACCATCTTTGTCCACCATCACTAAAAGGAAACCTTGTAGACTCAATGGGTTTATGCAACTAAAGAGGATTTATCAGATAAGTTTAACTAAAACATGCGAGATTAACTCTAAATGAAGTAGTTTACACAATTAACTAAGGATTCTCTTGTACTTTCTTAGACCCGTTTTATAAACAAATTTTGTACTGTACTGTTTTACACACACAATATTCTTGCGAAAATGTTCGGTCTGAATGCTGCCCGTTCCTATCCCTGTCTGATTTCACATGTTCTCTTAGTCTTTTTCCAATATTTTTGAATATTGCTTGTAGCTGGTCTGGGCTAAGCAGATTGGGCTGTAGTTTTTGCACTGCATCTGTATTCCTTTCTTGTAGATTGGAATTAAATAGTTATTTATGCATCAAGGGCATTAAGGCGATGTTTATGCCGAGGGCGACAGAGCCTGAGGAGGGAGGTGCACACAAAATTTTATTCTTCATAGTTCCAAATAATGCATTTCCAATATACAAATGTAACGATTATTGTTTGACCGACATTAAGTGCTTCATACGAATCAAGTAGCATCTTTTTTTATTACATAATATAACTCCATTAATATATTTGACAGGCCGTTTGAGGGCATAATGAGCCAACAATCCATTATGACCTTGGGCGTCATAGACTGCTTTATCTCATATGACAGATGTAATTGGCACATTAATAGGCAAATGAAAAATAAAGGTTATTTTGCCGGTCTCTCGGGATTGTTTGTTTTTCCCACGCTTCTTTACAGATGTCCCATATCCATTTTTCCTCCAGAGTCCTTTACTCATCTCCAGTGCAATGCCGTATTCTTCACTTGCTTTTCCAATTTTGATTCCTGGTATTTCCTCTTTGACTTCTTCTCTCTTAATTGTTTGTTGCTGTTGCACTTTTTCTTTTGTTATTTTGTCTTCCGGCTCTGGTGTGTTATACTTTATTCTGTAATGTTCTTTTCATGTTTCAAGTATTTCTTGTGTCAGCTAGTGTTTGTCAAAGTTTAATTTTAATTGCTTTTATTTCTTTCCTTTTATCCCCCCTTCATCTTTTTATTCTCATCCAGAATTTTCTAGTGTGTTCTGTGATCTCTTCTCCAAACTCCTTCCAGGACTCTTTCTTTGCTCTTTTGATTTCATTTTTCACTGTGGTTCTCCTTCGAATTTATTCCTCTTTGACTTTCTGTTTTTTTTTTGGTTTGTACATACTGCTTCCATGCTGTTTTCTTATATTTTGTCAGCCTTTGTACCTCGATATTCTACCACCTCGTTCTTTTGCAATGTTTACTGTATTTTCTCTGTTTTCTTCACCAGTGTTTCTTGGAAAGCTATCATCCTTCTTCTCTAGTCTGTTTTTCCGTATTCCAGTTTAAAAATTCTAAATTTCTTTCCTGGCATTTTTCTTTGTTTTCCTTGTATTTGTCTTCTATTATTAGGTCGTTCCCTTTGCAGAAGAAATTTTTATTCCATTTCTATTTAGTGTATCTTCCCAATATATTCCCATACATCCCATTCCTTTGTTGTAGCCCTACTCTACTGTTCCAGTGTCCCATTATTATTGTCCTCTCATTTTCTTTTTTCAATTCATCTAGTATTTGTTGTATAGATTCGTGTGGAACTCCTGGAGATTTCTTCAACTGGTGTTCCTTCTACTGCCCCATGTATCTGTATGATGTTAATTGTTTCTTCCATGTTTATAGAGTTGATTACCTTAAAATCAGTTATTCTTTTGTTCATTTCCTCTGTGACTATTATTCCTACTCCTTCCTTTGCCCTTTATTCTGGTTGCACTGCAGAGTAGTATCGTATGATTTTTTTGATAAGTACCTACATGCTTTCTTCGCCATTTTTGTTAGTTTCACTTAGCCCTCCTGCTGTTCATTTCTTCTGTTATTTCTATCCTTTCCTGTTAGTGTGTTTATCTTCCAAATTCCTATCCCTATCTCTACACTTCATATATCTTTACCTTTTTTCGTGTCGTTTTTCATAGGATGTTTCTTTGGTTGTACCATTTTAAGTTTCTGGTTTTGTGAGGTTTGTTCATATTTAAGTTTTTCTGGGATTGTGCCAGTGTTACTGATAGATCTGATTATTTTGGTTAGTTGTGCTTATGTTTCTTCCTCTGGAGATTTTTCTTCTCTCCTCTTCATGTCTTTCTATTCAATGCGTGATTATTTTCTTACCCCGGTCAACCCGTTGAAGATCAGCTACTTATCATTGCCCTTGCCAATCAAAACAGGAAAACATGTACATTTAAGCCTTTTAAAAACATTTCGTTTCCGACAATATATCACTACAAAAGTTGGACGAACAATGAATTTTTGTGTGTTGAAAATTAGATCGTTTAGAGACCTTTATAAACACACACTAAAAACTAACGATTTGATAATTACATTGACATTTCATTGTGAACACCCTGTATCACTAAATCCTACTTTCTCATTACCAAAGTATTACTTTTACTCGGACTAACATTATTGCTCAAATTTATTCCTAAACTTCAAAAAACAAGATCGCTATGATGCATCAAAGTAAGGCTTACAAATGGGGAATTATTCGGGAAAAAATTAATAGATTGACATTGACAATTCAACTCATGTATAAAAAATCGCATAAGCCGCAGTGAAATTGTCACTTTGACAGCGGCAAAAGTTACCTGCAACTTTTCCAGCGACAAATGCACTAGTGGTTTTTTCACTTATTCATTTTCGAACCAATTATCGCATTATCCTTTCCCATATGACTAGTTTGACGTCTGTCAGTAATTGATTAGTTATGTGAATTTCTTGTTCGTTAAATTGTCCTGCCGAATTACACTCGAGGTTTGTATTTAAACCGAGTAAATTTGTGTTGTTGCAATTCAAATCTGTTGCCTTTTAGCAATTGAACTCGAAAAACTGTCAACCTAAAAATGCTCCACCTGCGGTGTCGCATTTTTATTAGTTGACAGTTTTTCTCGTCTAATTGCTAGGCAACAGATTTTCATTACCTAAACAACCCAAATTTACTCGGTAAAATACAAACCTCTTGTGCAATTATAAGTGACAAAAAATGAATAGCTTCCAATGTAGAGGTTTACAAATGACACCGAAACAACTAAAAATATACAAGGTGTTCTATTAAAACAAAAAGTTATTTATTTACACCATAAAAATGGAACACCCTGTATATTCAAAAATAATTTCTATAGATGCACAAACTATAGTTGATATTTTTTACGAGGTAAGCTAGGGAAGACCGAGGCACTGTTGCTGGACCCAGTATACTAAGAGTGCTCTGAACATGTCTAACACCAGAGGGGGCTCAGAAATTCAAAAACGGAATAACTGGCCAATCACATTTCCTAATTCGTTGGTTGAATGTAGTCGAACTACTTACAACCACCTGCCAGAGTATCTACTGCTCAGTGCATTGCAACACATACCTGCATGAGATGTCTTTGTAGGTGTCTGAGAAGGTTTAAACAATTGTTTTTTGACATCAGATATGGGCGACTGAAACCTTTCAACAGCAGACGGCCCTGGTGATTGCAATTGATCTAAAAGAAAACATTCGCCAATTTTATCGAATTACAAATGTTAACCTACTATTTAAAGAACGCCGAAGTATTTGACCGGGTGCAGGTTGTTCTTCGCTGTGCACCATATTCCCTGGTAACGCGATGTCCTCGAATTTAGGAAAGTTCTCCCCCGAATTCGACAAAATTCTCCAAATCGGACTGCCACTTTTCCATATTAAAGATTCGATTATCTTTTGTTCCACCATATTTAAGTGCTTCACGGCGTCTCTTGGTAACTGATCTTGCGAACGAACGATCAGCTCGATCACACGTACAAAGTAAAACGGTTCGACATTCAAAGCGTTTAAAATCCAAGGAAACTTTCTTTGGCAATTGTAAGAGTAGATAATTATCTCCAAACTGCAGGCAAGGGTGCACTCATAAAAGATTTCTTGTACTGCCAAATGCTGGAAGCATAAAATGGATTACACAGTTAATGGAACGATTCGAGTTACCGAAATATCCGAATGGAGAGTTTTCTCTTTTTGAAAGATGTTTTCGACGAATTTGTAAAATAGCGTAATAGCAAGCTGGAGTCTCTGGTTGGCATAATCTGGTGTAATCATTGGAACAGACGAGCTTTGTCTTGTAAACTCCGTACGAAATTTATCTCCAAGAGATTCTATAATTGTTGCAATTTTTTCAGTGGGATCTATTTTACAACCCCTACAAGAAAAAATTGAAGTTCTACAGAGAGAAAATGAAGGTGAAACATACTGAAGAATTTGTAACAATAATTCACTTGGACCCGACTGACGACCGGCGAGTAAGGATTGTAAGCGAGCTACACTTTTGGTTGCTGTAGATAAAGGAGTGCTATCCATTTGTGTTCGGGGATTCACTTTCTTCGCAGATCCGGGTGTTCCGGGTAGTGAATTCTGTAGGAATATGAGTAAATATTACGCTAGTAATGAATAAGTTAGAACATACCTCGCCTGATCGAGACGATTCAGTTACTAGAGCATCACCTAAAATGTTGAGACTGTTAGGAAATACTCTTTTTGCATTTAATACTGGCTATCAGATATGATTTTCTCTACTTTTAGTACATGTCAAATGTCAGAAGTTTAAGGCTTGCTGCCTATCAATGAAAATAGTTTTAGAATGAAATATTTTACCATGCAATGTTACGATGACGATATGCTATTGGATTAAGTATTAGGCAAATAATTAAAGTTGTGCAAGTGATAAATGTTTTTACAGATAAGGTATCTGTAGAATTTCTTTAAGCATGAGCAGTTAGCATCCCCAATCAACAGATACTACCTACCTTATACCACTGATACTTACAAAATAACTATACTGAGCTAGAACTATGCCTGGGAGGAAAAATAAATACTAATCTAATCTATATGTATTTGTCAAATTACCAGGAACAATTAGGTATTGCATACTCAATATCTACATTTACAAGTAGCATTCCAGGAAACAGTAATGACAAAGAGTAACCATAATAAGAGATTCAACGGCATAGAGAATAGTGTTGCATATGTATTGTGTGTTGCCTAACAAATTTTACTGCTTTTTCTCAATTTTATTGGTGTACGCTACGCCTAAGGAGCTATGTACTTGTTTAGAAGTTTATAAATATCATTGCAGAAATCCCAGCGTTGCCAAATGTTTAGTGTTTGCTTGAACTTATTTAGGTATCTATTATTCCTTGAATGTATGATGTTTAGAGATATGTTATACCATTCTACGCTTATGGCACAATTTATTAAGGTCCGAACGCTTGTTGGTTTGATTCATTGGTGCGAAGATATGTTCTTCGTGTAACAATAAGCCGTTTTTTGAGCGGTAAATAATAGATTCTTTACTGTGTATTGTGTATTCTCAGTAAGCGCGAGTAATAAGCTCGCTTTGATTACGTCTCTGCCCTTTGTACACACTGTTCGTCGCCCTACCGTCGACGGATGTATGGAAAAGTCGACCGAACTAGACCGTTTAGTTAGAAGAAGTAGTCTAACGAACGATATTTATCTTCCGACTTGCGCGGAAATAAAGGAACATTTTTTTTAAAAAAAAGGCCAATAGACGTTTTATAGCATGTATTGTACAAATAATAAGATAATGAAGAAAAAATGTTGCAATCACTTTTTAATTTTTGCCAGCCAAACTATAAACAATATAATAAATCCAAAGTAAACTGCCTCAATTGGATTATAGTTGTGATCGAATGGTTCAGATAAGTTAAAAATTGAACTGTGGACCAACGCAACCCCACCTCTTTAAAAATGGTTTCTTTGCGATAACTGAAAAACTACTTGACCGATTTGGACCATATTTTTTACCAGTCGATGTGACTAATGTCCCCTTTAATCTCATTACATTTCAGTCCGATCGACCCACGCATTCCGGAGATATTTAAACGCTCCAGAAACCCTATATTTGGAGTGGAAGCCAACGTTGTTTTCAAAAATGAGAACATACACTGCATTATCAATCGTTTAGATGCATAAATCACTAGCAGAATGCGGCAAATTTAAATACATATACTTATGTGTTTTTTCCGCTACTAGCCAATGGTGACTTAAAAACATGTGTACGACGCTTAGTTGCTAGGAGACCGATACGCGCTAGTGCTGCAGCTTAAAATGCGGGTCGAGAGTATTTTTTTCATTGAATTGTTTAAATGAGAATAACGTGCAAATATTTAATTAAATTTATTCGACGGGTGCAGATTTATTAATTTAGTATTTAACTGCACTATATATTTTGACTGATTATTGGATTAGACTGATGTTTTTTTTTCTGAGGACATAAGGATTATTGCATTGTAATGATTGATTGTTAATGATTAAACAGCTCAGCGTATGTAGGCATCTATACAAAATTAAAGCAAACAAAATTTCCTGTAAAATAATCGCTATGCTCATCATAAAATCCAATTTTATGAAATATGTTGTCTACTTTAATTTGATTGTAGTAGACGATCTAAAAAGGATGGATAATAACAAATTTAATTTACATTTTTACAATTGTACCAGTTATTGGTTATTCAATTAAACAGTAATTACTGTCTATTCAATAGACGCGAACTAAACAGGAAAATACCAATGTAATTAACAATAGGTACTGAATCGTTGCTGATTTCTTTTATACTTAAGTAATGTTTTCTAATTATATCATGTCCACATTTTATACAGCCAATAAGAAAGAAAATTAAATGTGACAACCGCGCAAATATTTTAAACCGAAATTCTATAAAGAATTCTGTAAATTTTCAATACGCGCCAATATTTAAAGAGGCGGTTAGTTCTGGCCACCTCTACGCGAGGGCCCGCTTTTGGAATCCTAGCGGGCGAGTTCTTATAGCCAACACGCGTTTATACCATTGCGCTGTATCTCTTATTAATTTATTATGGGTACTCTTTGCTTTAATTTAAACAATGTTTCGAGTGCTCCCGAATGGTCTTGAACATTCTATAACAAAACACATCACATTTTCCGGAAAGATTACATCA